GGACGTAATGAACGTATTAAAAATAAGCAACCTGACTGCGATGGGTGCTTGTCCTGAGTCCATGATGCGCTTAAACCCATAGTACGCACGGCTGGTCCTGCGCATAAGGTTGGCCAGGATCAGCTGAGGGTTGGGCGAGTGAGACAAGGGGACCCCGAGAAAGATAAGGGAGTCACCAACTTGCAACGGTTCCGCACGACCCCGAACCCAAATGCCAGGACAGCAACCGTCATGCGAGCTCATAACTTTACTCTTCTCAGGGTTGGCCTCCAAGCCAATGGTCTTGAGGACATGCATGATGTGTTGTAGTCTGCTTTGCAGCCGAGCGGCAGATTCTGCAAACAGAATGATATCGTCCGCATATATAATGAAGTGTGGGAGCCCTAATGAGGGGCTATCCCAGTCGGAGAACATAGTGGTAAAGTGGTCATGCAGAGGGGCAAGACAGAAATCCATGACCCTAGAGAAGACATCAGCTGAGTATGCCGTGCCCTGCATGAGCCCTCTTCCTAAGGGAATTCTCTCAGTTTCCCCTGCTACCGACAAGTCAACAGAGGTGCCCATGATTAGTTGGAACAGTCTGTCACATTCTATGCCTGGGCTACAGTGCATGAGCCACCTGAGGACAGCTTGCTGACTGAGACTGTCAAACGCAGCTTTGATGTCTATCTTAGCAGCAAAGGCCGCCCCTTTAGTGTGCCGTAGCAATTGTAGAGTCGCCTGGGCAGCCATTATACCATCTGCAGCCTGCACTCCTGGCCTACACCCAATTTGGTGTCCTGAGTAGTGCGGCGCCTTGGAGTGCACTCGGGCCATCAGGACCTTAGAAAAGATCCGGCAGAGCACCGGCGTGAGGCAGATCGGCCTGAGCTCCTTGGGAAGTGCCGGGCGGGGCACTTTCGGCAGCAACACTATACGTCCTCGCTTCCACGAATCTGGTATGGGGCTTTCACCCCGTATCAATGCCGTAAAGTAGCGCGGGATGCGCAGTTCTTTATCCTTAACAAGTAGGTGCCTGAAGCCCTCGTAGGTTGTGCCATCCAAGCCCGAACTGACTCCACTACGACTACCTTTCAACGCGTGAAAGATCTCCTCCAGGCTAACCGGGGCTGACTCCATGGGGTTGCTGCTGTGCAATTCACTCACGGCCGTACATTGCTCCGCGGAGATGGGTAGATCATGTAGCTCATATTTAGCCCTGTAGAAGACAAAGAGATCCCGCGAAGCCTTCTCAGCCCCTCCCGCTCTCTGGACATACGAACCTTCAGTCTGGCCCCCCGCAGCGCTGGCTCTCATATGAGCAATAGCCCTGCAGTTTCCCGATCTTGCCTGACTGAGCAAGTGCTCCTTATGCTCCGCTTTGGCATCAATCCGCGCCTGATGAATTTCCTGCATAAGGGCGGCACGGTGCCACGGGTCCACAGAGGCCTTGCGATCCTGGATTAGTTGTTTGATTGGAGGGGATCTCGGTACCTAAGTGAGGAAGGCCTAGAGCTGACCCCCTTAATCCGGAATGCCGCCGCCAGGACAGCGTCGTCCCAATGGGCAGTGTGCTGTAGGTGGTCCCACAGTGAGTCAACCGCTACATTCCATTTGCCACAGAGTGTGCGTGGGGGCCTTTTGCGGTTTCTCTTATCAGCTTTGTCACGAAAGAGCATGTGCACCACAACAGCATTATGGTCTGAAGGAAGGCTGATTCTGAGGTCCTCGCGCTTTTCAAACCCCAACTCTGCACCCCTGATTTGGTGCAGAAAAAAGTCGATAGCCGAGGAACAGCCTCTAGCGATCCAAGTGTCCCCCAACGCCGGACTGGTCTGCAACCCCGTCTGGAAAACGAACTCCCTGTATTGCATCATGCCATTGAATTCGTCGTGCTGTGCACGCAGGTCCTGATTTAAGTCGTGCCCTATCAGTATATTCGTCTGCCATGGTAAATCCGCCAAATTCAACAAAAGCGAACCGAGCCCTTTCTCCCACGTGTCCAAGGCATCAGACCGCTGCTGGTGTGGGAAGTGTAAGCTGGCTAATACCCACGGTGTGGCTTGCATCCTTCCTTGCAAAAGTATTCCAAATTCATGCACATGCACCTTGCTCTCTACAAATTCACAATCCAAAGCAATAAGTATGGCTGAGCACCTATGACTCAAGGTGGGATTGGCCAAGAAGACCTGGTACTCCCGTCCTGCGATGAATTCCGTGTCAGTCCTCGCACTGCCTTCAGCGAGTCCTCTAACATCTCCAAGTTCCTGAAATAAAAAGATGTCATACGGCGTCTCTAGACCTTGCAGGAGAGTGGACACATGTTGTATACCTTTGCCGTGTAAATTCCAGCTGCATGCATCCAGGCTCATCGGACGAGAGACTGGTTGTGAAACTACAGTACGCTGGCTGTCCCCCACTCTCACCTGAGAGGCTTCCCTCCCTGCTTCCTAGGCCACTCCATAGTGCGCTAAGATCGTGGCTCTGGATATGCCAAGCACGACCTGGACTTGGTCTAGGTCCAAATACCACCCCGTTTCATTTCCACGGGCATCGATAAGCATGAGAGTGTTATCGCGCCTTTGCCTATTTTCGACGTGGTGCAATATCTGGCCCGAATTCGCCCAGACCCTTCCTTTCCAATCCTTATCCGAGCAAAGTTCTCCTACGTGCTTGCAGCAGAGCTCATAGGTCGACAGAACCGCACGAATTTTGGCTCTCTCTTGTATGCTTCTATTCCGAGCAGCCCAGAAGTTACACCCCTGCTGTCCTGGGACTGAAGACGTGTAGCGGAGGTCCTTGATGGCTTGGACGATTATGCCTTGGAGTTTACGCATCTTCCAGATGTCCGGCTCAGGGTAGTTGAGCTCCACCCTGCAGTAACCACACCGAACATAGGGAACGTATATGGCCTTTATCAAGGCTGCCCCGTTCATACGAGTGAAGATGTCCTTTACGTCTTGTTCTATCCCATCCCTTCGGCACTCATTCCAGCCCCCAATGACTATTTGCAGCTCGTCAACTTCACCACTACCTGCACCCCCCCCCCTGAGGATCTAGGGTTGCCCGCATCCGACCTAGGAGTGCCCGGACCTCGGTTGGGAGCAGGACTAACACTTCTAGTGGGGGGAGCCGACTTTATGTTTTGAAGTTCATGTTCCAGGGCCTTAAAGTCATCACGCATTTGCTGCAGTGCAGCCTCTTGTTCATCTGCCCGTTGTACAAGAGCAGATTGTCCCGTGCCTAGTTGCCTAATGTCGGATTGGAGGACTTTAAGGTTACGAGCTGAGTCTGCAAGCTGATGGGCCATCTCCTTTTGAGTACTAAGCACTTCCCTCAGCTCTTGCCGAAGGCCTCCTATCCATGGGGGTTCCGTGAGATCATACCTTTCTGGTTCACGGCGGGCAGGTTCATTAGTGGGCACTACTGGGAGAGGCTGGCCAGCGAGTGGTCTAATCGAAGGATCGGCATTCGCTGCCGGTGGTCCAGCAGGCCCTTCTCCTGAGGGAGCAGGCCCCATGTTCGTGACCACAACTGCTCCTGAGCCACCGTGGAACAAGGGAGGATACGCGGGGGCGCTGTTGCCAAACCGAGGTGCTCCAGGATCCTGCGGAGGGATTTTGGAGGTGGCTGTTTTAAGTCTCTTCTCGGGGCTGCCCCCTTGTGGATTACGTATTCCATCCCACCTGCCATTGGTTTCTCCTAAGGCCTCCGTGGGTTGTGGTATATCCAGGGGCCTCCTAATGCTGCTGACAGAGCCGCCTGTGCTGCTTCCTGGAGAATTTCCCTGTCCCTATCCGTATTGGGCCTAGCTTTGCCTCGCATCGAGTTCTCTCTCTCCCTCTGTCTACCCCTACGTTCACCGTCAACATCCATGGCACCAGGGCGTTGAGAGATATCCAAGGCCGTTTCTCGGGGGGGGGCCCATCCACTAGCTCGTGGTCTTCAGGGTCCAGCAGTGCCACCCCCGCCCCCCTGAGGCCCGGGAGGGGTTGCATCGGAACTGTACTCTCGTCAGTCATGGGTCAGGAAGCCTTAGTCGGTGAGCAGGTGGGGCAAGATAGTTGCGAGGTTCCAGGGTCGCAGGTGGCGGCAGAAAGCAGGCCTTCACACTGCACTGTTTCGGCGTATTCAGTCGGGTTTCTAAGCCGGGGTTTAGGGTTTAGGTACTATGGTTTAGGGTTTAGGGTTTAATTAGGGTTTAGGGTTTACACTCTCACAACTCGGACAAGCCAGGCGAGGGTCCGGGTTCGACAGTCGGCGTGAAAACATTGGAATCTAGGGTTTAGGGTTGAAAGTTCTGGTGCTTCTCAATTCGATTTAGGGCTTCGGCTCGCACACTCGCAGAATACACGCACAGATCCCAGTCATGTCGGACTGCGTAAAACCCCCCACGTTGCAGGAGCTTCTCCGTCACAAAAGCCCACCGAGTTTGGGGTTTCAGGTCTAGCGTGTAGGATTTTGTTTTGACACCTTGTTCCGACTGCCTCAGAGCTTCGGAAGTCAAGAGGCATACGATTTGTATTTATGTTTGTAGCTGTGCCTGTTTACATGGCTTAAATGTCTACTTACTTTGTTATGTGTTTGTTCACCTATGCATGCAGAGTTGTCTATTTACTGGTGATTAGAATTCATTCTTATAGGTGTATGCATGTGCCTATATGTGTATGTCCGTATGTTTGCATGTGTGTAAGTCTGTCTGTCTGTGTGTGTGTGTGTGTGCGTGTGTATGTGTGTATATATATATTACGATATTTATACATCTATTAGAGTACATACATACCTGTGGGAAGCCTTTAAAGATGTCAACCCGGCCCTACGAGACCCAGTACGGGACCCACGTTGATTAGACACTTAGTCAGTCACACGGCAGGCCCGGAACCTCTACATGACTCGAGCTGACATCCTAGAGCAAAATGTAACCTCGCCTATTTCGCGAGATCTGGGCTTTGCTTAGAATCCCCGTCGGATACCGGAGAGTGTTTGACAGCATGTCGGGCAGCCCTTTACACCTGCAAGTCCTCGCATTCACGCGCTGAGTCCACGCCGGCCCGGCAGCGAGCCTCGACTGAGCTCAGCCCAGTTGCTACCAAGGGAACCCTAAACCCAAGAGTACTTCTAGGGATCTTCGGGGGTGCCTTAGTTGAACGAGGCACCCTGCAAGGCGTTGTGCAGCACAATCTCCAAGACCGAAACACTACGTTGCTTGCATGGCCTTAGCCTCAAGAGATTTCCGGATGATTTCTGGGGTGCGCGCAGGAAACCTGGCGCTCACGGACGAACCCCCCCCCCGGCCGGAAATCCGGAGAACAGCAGGTCCGATTGTGTTGGATTTGTATTGACAGTTTTCTAGTAGCCGCTAGAACCAACCAATACACGTTCTATCGAAACTCCGGCACCCCAAACTCGAGCCCAACACCCTACACTCCTGGAGACCTCAATTTCGTAGAAAACTAGTCTTCGAGACCTATGAATTATTTTGAAATCCTTGCAGCTCCTAAGAACCTGGGACTCAAAACCGGCCTAGCCTCCCAGGTCGAGTTCACGTCTCCATCGAAGGCCTGGTCATGTGGATGTTGTTCTAAATTACAGGAGCCATGCCCAGGCATTAGGACAGGGCTTGAGCCCGCCCGTGTGCCGTCTTGCGCGCGCAGGGGATTGCACTCGTGTCAACATAACCGCTTCACAGACAATTGCACATGCCCCAAGCTGCAGCGATAAATTGACATGCCCTTCGACTTACTTAGTGCTTGACGGTTGAGGCTAGGCGGCTAGACCAGGCCTTGATTATTTACAACTAAGGCGGACAGTGTGGCAGCGACAGCACCTCCAGCATGACCTGTAGCCCCGCAGCCCGCAGGCTTTACCCATCTTGAGCCAACCTTCCAACCCTTCTGCCCGGAACTCCAAGTGTTTCTGGAAGCTGTGGCACTGCGGCTGCACGTGCTTTCAAGCGGAGGACTGCAGATCCCACACGCAGGTCCTAAACCCGCCTCCCTGAAAATAAGAACATAATCGTGGAGATAAAATCTGGGAATCCCCACATATCCCCACCGTCGGGCCTTGAATATCTCTCCCAGGGAGCTCAGGAGCCCCAGCGGAACCAGGGGCTCCGAGCAGTTTACATCAGCATAGAATCGCACCTCCTTAGGGAGGAAGGCTCTGGGTGAGAGCTGCACGAAGATTGTAAAGAAAAGTGCGCCCCTTCGGTGGCTTCCGTTTTCATGTCATCTATTCGCATGTACTTCGCAAGCCTTGCTAGCGGCTGCTCTTGTTGGTGCTGAACATCGACTTGTTTCAGTAGGCAGTCGGAGCTTAGCAGTCCGCCTGAGATTCCTCCAACAAAATATTACTTCGACCCTGCGTGGCTTTGCCATTCGACCCCGCCCTGCTGCATACGGAAGCAGGATGGAAGGATAGAGTCGGATAGAATGCATGAGGTCAGTGACTGCGGACATGTTTCAGATTCAATGACTGGCACGCTATGCCACAGAGCGCGTGTGCATAGGCATGCGGCATAAGTCAGCCCGGGCTGAAGAGAACACCCCGTCCGCAATGCTGCTGGGGTTGTGACACTTAGCAGATGGTATGCTTCAGAGATCTTCAGAGCTGCGTGTGGAAAACACTGTTCTCTATTGGGTTGCCTATGACATTAGTCTGGTCAACTCTCGGCCCCTGTAGACAAATTTCGAAAAGACTGCAGCCAACCGCGTTGAAAGTCCTCCATAAAACTTCCACAGCCTTCAAGAAGAGTTGAAGGCCTGTTTTATCTCGAATTTTCCGGATCCCGGTGGCGGCCACCACCCAGGCCGCAGCTGCGGTCGCATCGAACGCATCGTCGGGCCGTGGCCGTCCAGCTGCCCGGAGCCCTCGGGCAGTCTTGAAATGAGACTGAGGCTTGCATGACGGCGACCACCACCTGCACCACAACAACCCCAACCGCAACCGCCGCAGCCAGCACCAGCACCCGCACCATCACCAGCAACAAAGGCAACAACAGCAACGGCAACAACAACAGAAACAACGGCAATAACAGAAACAGCAGCAGCAACAACAACAACAAGAAGGACAACAAGGACAACAAGGACAGCGAGGACAACAAAGACAGCAAGGACAACAACAACAACAACAACAACAACAACAACAACAACAACACCAACAACAAACATACAACAAACAACAACAAACAACACCACCAACAACAACAACAACAACAACAACAACAACAACAACAACAGCAAGCACCAGGAAGAAGAAGGCACTGTGGCAATTTCTATGACAAGAAGGACAACAAGAACAACTGCTGTAAGAACACCAACAGCAACGGCATGGACAAGACAGCGACAACAACCTGCTACCACAAATACCACTACTTCTGCAGCTGCTGCCACTGTTGCTACTAATAACTCTTAAAGACTTATACCGATACTGAGACACGTACAGGCCTTGGAACACGCATAAAATCCTCAACTACTTTAAGTGTGAAGGTCTGACACAGGTACGAGTCTGCAGGCTTGTACTAGGGCATGAATTGGTTTGCGTCCAAGCAATGCTTACTTTTCTTGCCGCGCTGGCACGCCATGGAACCCAGAGTTCTGAAGCAAATCTAGGCGGAAACGAGACAGACGACTTCTCATAAGGCCCCGGCTGAGAGCAGGCGCCTCACAAATCAAATGTTATCACGGAAGCTTGCATCCACCTGACACCTCCGAGTGTGAGGGTTGACATCCCATGGCCGGCAGAGCCCAAACAAAGAGGGTGTAGCTCTCTTTGGGTTTCAAGGCCGCCTCGGAACAGGCACAGAACCACCCCAGAGGCAGCAGAGCGAGTTCCGAGCCTTCGTTCTCTTCACAAGGGTTATGAACACCTCCTGCCTGAAAGCCTCAACTATCAACACTGCAAGCTGCCCAAGCCCCATAAGTTTACACCCCTAGCCTAACCACTACAAGTAGTTCCACAGCCGCCCGTCAAACCCAGCAAACAACCGGTCAAGCCCACCTCACCGAACGTAAATAGGCCCAATCCCTCCAACATTTACTCCGGCAGCTACATTGGAACAGCACACAAGAAGTTGGATGAGAACGACACATCGACAAATGTCAGGGGAAGACCAGTACATACAAAGATCGATGAGTGATTAGTATGTATCCTACACTAAACCAGTACATACCCATAAACCTTAAACCCTAAACTCTAAACCGCTAGCATGTATCCTGCACTAAATTCCCTCAACTGGCAGAGACACCCCCCCCCATGAGGTCAAAAACCGTCGCCTTGCCATGGCCTCAACCCCAGCCTCGGCCTCAGACAGGCTAAGGTCTAAGGTCTAAGGAGTTTCGGGTTTACACTCTCACAACTCGGAGAAGCCAGGGGGATCTCGGGAGTAGGAATCGCTGAAGGCGTTTGGAGTCGGAAGGAGTGCTCGTGTTCTGGGACCTCTTCCTGTGCTGTGCTGCGTTTGTGTTCGTGCGTGTGTGTTCGTGCAGGCGCTTGTGGCTTGTGCTTGCAGCTGCCTCTGCACATTTTGTGTGTGTGTGTTGTCGTGATTCTGCCTGTGCCTTGCGCCGTATTGTGCTTCCGTGTTCGTAGTTGTGGTTGAAGGCTTCTCGGATGCTCAGCACTGATCTTGAAAGCTCCAGGCTTAGCGTCGATTCCGAACAGCCACACCGGTTGTCATCGGAGTTTTTGAAGGTCAGCGAACACCTGGTCTTAGTTTCAGGCAATGGGCAGCAGAGGCCTATCAAGACCTGCAGCCTGCAGCAGAGCCAGTGTCCCGAATTCTCAACCCTAAGCCCAAACCGCCAAAAAGCGTCGCAAGTCTGTGTGTTCCTCATGGGCTTGCAACGTTTTCTGGCTAATGGCGTCGCATGGAAGGTTCCAGGATGGTCCCGTTATTTCGGGCATGCGATCATCTTTTCCGTCCGAGGCCATGGAGATTTTACACTGTAACGTCTTTTGCAGTATTCCACGTTCAGAGTGAAGCTAGCACCAATATTCAATAATGCCATGGTCGTACGTCCTTTTCTGTTTCTACATGTTTCTTCTGTGACTGTTGAACCTCCTTTCGCTTGGCTAAGAGCCGGGCATTGTCCAAGCAGTAGACCATGACATCACCTTGCACACAGTATGACACGACGGGGAAGACCAGCAACAAAACAGTTTTGGCAAAAATAACATAGTAAAGCATGGAGCTTCGCTGCAATCACTTACCCTTGCTGCTGATCTGCTCTTGTCCTACCTTTCTTCTCTTGCTTGACGTCTGTTCCTCTTCACCTTCTCCGAGAACTGGGCTGCATGGTGCCCTCCGACGAGCCTACACTTCGCGCCTTTTGACCTGCTATGCCGCAAACCCTCAATTATTTGAGCCTCATGTGAACTCTGCATCCCTGCATGCCCAAATTTCTGTTCGGAAGCCATCGCACAGGGCTCGAACCAATCCTACCGCCACGCAAGACTGGGCCAGGACCCTTGCAGACACTTCCCCGGGAGCCGTCAGCCTGGCGCATCTGAGAGCTTCCGGATGGCTGGCTTTGCACTTATTCTCGCTGGCACAAGGATCTGAGCACCTTTCGGATCAGCTAGTTACCTGAGTACTGTCGGTTTTGAAGAATGTGCTTGTTTCGTTCCGGTCATCCAACCGTCTCTTGTCATGCGCAATGTCATGAGGAAACTCCATTGCAGTTTGCGCACGATTCTTTACTCCATGCCTGCATGAATGAGTTCCCCAATTCGCCTCCCCGGCCGAAGCGGTAGATGGATCCTCTGTTTCCGACCCCCCCACCTCCTTCCTCCGGACCGCATTGACCCGCTCCAAGGCCACACGGTGAAGTTTCGTGTCCTCCGATGATGTTCGTTGTCTGAGGCAGTTCCACTCCCGCGCCCCCCTCCACCTCTTCTCGTCCCCTTCTTTTGTCTGCTTGTTGCTTTCAACTCTTGGCAGCGGCCGCGGCGGCTGCAGGTGTTGAGTTTCGAAAGTGCTTCAAGGCCTCGAGCAGCGGTCGTCTTAATCGCGGACACGGTTTCACGTCTCAGGACTTACACGAGTGCTCAAGAAACGACACCCATCGGCCTTCTTCAGTTGCGCCCTTGCCGAGGCGGGCGACACGAAGGGTATACAACTATCGCTAACCTGCATTCACGGCTCGATGTTTTAATACCTTAGGTTACATCCTCGGCCAACGCCACATGAGCTCGGACAGCGCACGGCCAAAGGGTGGCTTCCTTGAGCTCCCACACCTCTGATGCAATCACACGCTCTTCGCGAGGCGAGGCCATTCATCTAATTCTAAACCATCGCCGGCTTGGCTCCTTTCCGTAGGAAGTTAGGATGAGCATAGCTGTGTTCTCAACGGCACCCTAATTGAGAACAGCCCCCCTGTGATCTGACGCCCTTTCTCCACAAGCACTCGAAGTCGGCTGCCGAGCCCAGGAGAGGGAAAAGGGCTCGAAGGGTCTGGCCGAGAGCCTTCACCATCGACCAAGCCCCACTTGGAGGATCATGGGACTTAGTAAGTAAGGTTATAAGTACCCTAATTTGGGTTATAATTATAGCTACCTTATTTATAACCCTGGTTACCAAGTCCCACGATCCTCCAAGCAGGCAAAGATCAGAGCTCACGAGAAGGCACCACAACCGGGCAGCCCCCCATCGAATTCGGGTGCTAACGACTCCATGTCCTCACTTCAGGGTATGGCGTCTCGGTTTGCTTTCCCAACAGAATGACATCGTGGACATATGCCATCCGGCTTCCCCGACTGTAGCCCTTAAGGCCCTAACTTTGGGCTATGGTACTTTCCTTATTGTAGTCATTGTAGGTGGCCCGTGTCACGAAAGTCGAAACCTGCCCAAACTCGGTGAAGAAAGTTCGGAGCTCTGCCTGCTACGGCCTTCGGAAATCTTTCCGGCTGTGCCCGCGGTGATGCTGACATGCAGAGCATGCAACACCGACCGTAAAACTCTGCACAGAAGACTTTAACCGGCAAAGGAGCTCTGAGAGGCGATTCCATCCCTTTGATTGAGGTTCGGTAGCTGTTGCTGACACACGAGCACAAGTCAGCCCTTGAGCCCTGATCACTTCACAGCAAAGGCGTGCTCAATAAATTATTGTGTTTTTTCAATTTCATTCCCGTCTACAGCCCTCCAGGCCTCAATATGCATTCGCTCGAAGCTCTCCTTCACCTTCCGCCCGTGCACATGGCTCCCAAAAGAATTCTTACCCGTGGAGCTCCTGCGACTCAGGTCAGCTCGACTACAATGACTACAACTGAGGGCGATGTTGTCTATTTCGAGACTTGAGCTTCCCAGCTACAAGAAGCTTTGTGCATCGTAAGCCGCATCGGTGAAACACTCCCTCCCGGCGATATGCGCTAGTTAGCAAGAACACCACAGACCCCAAATGGGCACCAGAGTGGGCAGTTGAATCATCGGATGGCTTTGGGACGATTGAATGTCTGTACGTCTAATGCTTCGCCTCTGCGCTTAACTCATCATGATGGCGAAGAACAAACTTGGTCATGTCAAATACAGGTTCTGTGCCGGCGTTTAAATCACTACGATTGTGAAGAACAACTGTGTATTTATATATATATATATATATAGCACAACTCGGTGTATACTACATCTCTTGCCAGAGCAGCTGAAGAAGTGCTGAAGAGCTCCACGGATTCCAACGGACAGGAGAGCCGGAAGAAAACAAATTCGCGAATTCCATGCTGGCCAGGTTGGACGATGTGCATTCCATGCTCGCTTTGCAAAGGATCTTCTCAAGGCTGCGTGTGCTTGGTTATCGTACCATAACATCCTTCCAGCCGGAGGCGACTCATGCACCAAACCCACGACTCAGAATAGACAAAGGCACAGCTCTTTGCAAGGGACGGGCGCTGTGCCACTCCAGCCCAGGCCTCAGGCGGCCTGACCTGAGCCGTATCATGCTCCAAGCAGCAAGTTCTTTCTCATTCTCATCCAGATCCCCTTCTCAGGCTCTTAGGGGTTTTCTGCAAGGCTGCTTCTGGCTTCATGGAAGGATGCTCTCAGGCTGTAAGGCACTGCCAGGATACTGCACAAAGGCCACTCCTTCACTACTAACTTGGATCATGGACCCAGCCGAGAAGTAAAGTCGACACCCGGAGTTACTAGGAATGACGAGAGCCCAAATAACACCAGAACGCATAGCAATCACTGAGGGGAGCATGAGAAAACGACCATGAATTTATGTCACTCCAAAGTGAACAAGAATAACTCAAAGATCTCAACCCAGTGGCTCTGAGCGATCAGTGCTGATTGCAGCTGGCGGTCACCTCTCCCAGCGTCTGCTTCTGACTCTTTTGGGGATTGGGATTGCCTGAGGATTTGGGGATGGGCTGTCTTTCGCGTCCAGTTTCTCCTTGTCTTTATCCGTCTTTCTCCCTGTCGGACCGTCTGCCTGTCTACAGATGCCTCTCTCAGTCGGTCCCTGCCTTTCCATCCAATGCTTGCTGTCGCAGCGACTCCGGCACAAAACTCTTATGGATATTTCTGGAAAAAGACCTGGCCCGGCTTCAAAGTCTAGTTACGACTATCAACATCAAGCGATAAACGCCCGAAGCATTGACGGCAAAGCCAGGCTACCTTCCTCGTTCACGTCGTTCTGCCAGTCCTGTGCACCCACATGAGCACTTGATCTGTTGGCATTCTCAAAGTACGTCTGGCTCGAAGTGTTCGACAACGTCTGTTGACCCCGGCCGGCTCAAACCATCAATCCCTCGTCATCCGCATTTCCACACCGAGTGCTGCACCGAGATCATTCCGCATAGTTTGCACAGCTGAAGGACATAGAAGACATAACACCAGGCGCGCCTGGATCTCGGCCTTCAAATCCTCCACTTCGCTCCGCAGTCGCCTGGGGTGGCGAGAGAAGACAAAGTGTGCAGGGAGGCTAGGACGGCTAGGAGCGCAAGTGGAACCCCTGAGATTGAAGCGTCGAGCATGAAATCCGATAACACCAGGAGCAACGACGATGGTGGAACCGGTCCAGACAAATCGAAACCTGATCCCTGAAGCGCATGCCTTATGTACGGAACGTCCCCCCTAGCTGTCGCAGATAAGGGGCTCTGTGAGCTTCCTCTCGAGGTCATAGAGGAGGATCTTGTTTATCCTATGGCGGCACGCTGAGCATTTAAAAGGCAAAAGAATCCTGGTACTGCTACTCCGGTAGGAATATTGCAGAGCTGTGCTGGAACACAGCAGAAGTCAATGTAACTCCCTTGCAATCAACAGAACCAGTTCTGGCACCAGAATTGGGAAGTGCTTGGGGTGCAATTCTGACTCGTGAAGGGCGGCTTTTGTCGGGTTTGCAGGCTTGAGCAGCTGCCCCAAATCCTAAACTGTAACCTGGCCCGCATCGCTATTGCAAGCACTTCGAATGCGCAGCTTCATCCGGATGTATCTGAACCCCCAACCCTGAGCTTTACAGTCCCAAACCCTGACCCAGGGCATTCCTCTCCGATGCTCGTAGGTGTCAGGTCTGAAGTCTACTGGATGTAGCAGCTTTGACGGACACTAGCCAGAATAATCGCCACGATCACGGCAAAGGTAATCTTTCACACCATGCCCAAAGCCCGTATGTGTATGCGAAAATAATATGAACAAAGAGCGTGGATAAATGAACTCGTGCAGTAGCACGTGCAGATCACCATGACCATTGTCGTCGTCGTCGTCGTCGTCGTCGTCGTCGTCGTCCGTGCTGTTGTTATCGTTATTGTTGTGCTTAAAGTTCACACTGATTTTACTATTGTCCAAATTCATAAACCAGTTTTGATCTCAATTTGTTGCTGTTGTTGTCGCTGCCCTGTTGCTGCTTGTGGTGGCGGGGGCGTAGTGCATACATGCATAAAGCCATCTATACGTGCACACATACTTACATACATACTTAGTTCCATACACATTATACACGGACATAGTACATGAACACTTGTATACATGCATACACATACAGTATTTATGTATATACATACTTGTATATATCCACACGCATAACTCACACACAGCCTGTGCCAGCCAGGAGTCCTCACTACCTCTTTGACGTCCTTGACCGTCGCAGGGTTCGAGCCACGCATGCCTCAAGGACTCTGCGTTCGACGACACTGCCCTTTCTTTGCCACAGCCTAAAGACAGACCATCGTATGCTACAGCATTAATGCATTCAAGTTATCGCATTTGCCAGAATGAAACCTCCTCCCAGTCGTCTCCGTGAGCCGATGCCGAGGTTCTGTATGCCCTAAACCCAAAGCCGTGCCACAAAACTTTTCTTTAAGTTGACTCTGATGCACTAGGCCAAGAGGCTCAGGACCAACTCCACCATCTCTTCAAACTGCATTCCCATCTGACCCTTCCTCTGAGCGTCCTCACAAGTTGTTGGTGGTTGGGGCTTGGGGGTGTTTATAGCATCGAAAAAAGGCAGGCATTGATTCTGGCAGATTTTGACGTGTGCTCTGAATGCAGCGGTTAGAAGTGAAGCAATGGCCTCAAGCTTGATCTATGTAGGGCTTATGGCTTATGGGTGCACTTGATGTTTCAAGTCCTTTGAGGGCGAATTCTGCAAGACCTTTCAGTAAGAACTCCCCTAGCCCGAAGCTCTGATTCTGTCGTCCTCATAAATGATCTCAAGCATGTCACACAGGATAACGACATCCACGCCCACGGCGTCCACCACCTGTGCGATCCTCGGATCAAGCGACTTAGGAGGTTAGAACTAGGCTGAGCAATAGGTAACGGTAACCAGGTAACTAGGTTCAGTCATTACCTACTACCTAAGTATCCGACCTAGTAATTTTACACATATCTGCTTGTTTATTGCAGCATGCATTTACGTGCATCCTTTTCCCCGTATACCTATCAAAACCCGAGTTGTCTCTTGCATTCCTCGGGCCGAGATCGAACACGGACCATGGAGACATCATCCCACTGGCGAAATTTGGTTGGTGTTTGGTCGTACAAGGCAGAAGTTCGGCACTCGCTTGGGACCAGCGTGGCAAGGCCGAAACACGAACTGACGGTCGCTGACGAAGGCTTCAATGCGGGAGCTGAATGACATGTGTTGTCCTCTGGGCGTTTTGCACCGCCGTGAACAAATATGCGCACACGGAGCATGGAGGGGCTCCGCGATGTCCTTTGTAAGCTTTATAGGTGTTAGCTTGGCAGCAGCCTGGCCAAGTCAGTGAGGGCTACGTCTGAGGATCCTGTCACAGAAACCAGAGAAACAGATCAATCGGCTTCTGTGTCTAGGGTCTAAGAGTCCGAAGACATGCTGTGGTTCTTCTGACAATGTCTATGTGCAAAGCTTTCTCGGGAGCTCACGGAAAATCGCTCCGAGGGTCTGCGGCTCCACTAGGAGCTGTTCAAACTCGTACTTGGAGATGCGCATGCCGTGCTGGTATCCTGGCACAGCATCTTCGGCCCGAAAGCGCGAAATGCAAGCCTCGCTGCCTTCAGTCTCTTGCTGCTCTTGCTGCACCACACTTTGCAAGATAAGGCTTGGGACAAAGGCCATCGGTCATCATCAGCATCCGTCGGGGGCTCGAAAATCCCAGACCCCCTGTAGCGCTCAAGGCCTGAAACCCCCAAACCCTAAGCGACAGCACAGCATGGCCCCTGCCGGCCGGCCTAGCTTGTCCATCTCCGCACGCATGGAGTCTGCAACGAAGCCCACAGCTGCCCTCTCCTACGCACTGCTTTCTAGTTTCTAGGCACGCTTTCGACGACAAAGGGGAGGCCTCTCTATGCATTCTAAGGAGCCAGCCCCCCAGCCAAGCCAGCGCTAAACACACGCAGATATGCAGTGGAACTGTGTGGACACAAGGCGGTCTTCTGCATGCATCAGCAACAGCACCCACCCCGAAATCTGATCCAGCTACTGTAGTGGTCGTTCCCGTATGCTGAGAAGGCAACTTCCTATGTGACTACTTCAAGATGCAGATGGCATCAGCACGTTTAGTGTGGTCCAGAATCCAGATGCCGGGACACATTTATCTTGGATGCAAGGACGACTCATTTGAATCATCAGCAGTTGCAGCAGTTGCAACCAAACTGGACCAGGAAAGGCTTGCACTGTGGACAGCATGTTCAAAAGGCTCTACCGATTCCGGGAAAGATTCGGATTGGGCACAGGAGGGCAAACAGACCAACCAAACTCTGAGGCTTGAGAACTTGGCAGCCTGCGGACCTACCTGCCAATTTCGCTGCAACTGGCAGGAACTGCGGCAGTCCCTTTGAAGCCGGAAGTGTTTCCGACAATTATGAAGTCAGGCCGCCAATAGCAGGTCGGCAGAAGACCTCCAAGGGTACCAACATCGAACCAACCAACTTCCTTCTCCACGTTCGAGACGACACCAACCACTTCCACAAGCACGCCGACCAACATGTACATCACCTGAGGCTTCGGAACACTTCTACTCATTCAACAAATCCTAGATCCGACCCGAAAGGGATATGGGTCGTGACGGCCTTTTCCATGATGCGACGAAAGAACGGACTAGGGCCTAGGGCCTAGCGCAGCCTACCTGTGCCTTTGGAACCTGTTTCGAGCCTGACATGAGTGGCTGCACAGAACCTTTCGCTTCTCAGACTTCCCTTTGAGGCTGAAGCTGTCACCGAGATCAGCAGCAGAAAGATGAAGACAATGGGCCACATCCTTTGCAAACAGTGAGCCCTGAAATAAACATCACAATGATTATATGACACAAGCCTGGACGTACATTGGCAGTTGATTGCAACCCAGAACACACTTTCAAATTATGATGTACTATTATACTATACCACACTTTGGAGGGGTGCGTGCGCGGCGCTATCTATAACAAAGTGCCCTGGCATGATCTGAGAGGGCACGAACAGACTAGGACCCAGCAGGAAAAAGGTTCACAAAACAGGCGCCTACCACTATATAGATCTTTGCCAGATTCAAGGCTGATGACAACAGAAGATGTTGATTTTGCACGAACAAAAGCACAGTATGTTCTTATGAAGCTGGCGAAGATGCAGTTTGCTCGCGGCCACTGCAGGTTCAGTCGCACGCCACTCTCAGTAAGCTCTCCTGCTCACCACATCTAGTCTAGTCGGACTTGTCGTGAATGGTCTTGATGAAAGATCACACGGCAAAGTTGCGGCGATAGGCTAAAGTACAACATGCTCTGGTACCATAAGCAACGACTCCAACTGTTCAGATAGGCCAAAAAAGAAGTATGAGACGACCACAGCGCAACAGACGTGCCTGGGTCTGGCTGAACAAGCCCTGAGAGTAAGCCCCCGACACCGCGGATGTTCCTGAAATTTCGGCGAACAAGGCCGAACTCTCCTTCGGCTCTGGAGCGACACTCGGCTTACGAAGGGTTTATGGAGCTTAAGCGTTCTGATAGCAGGGATCTACATGAGCGGTCCCTCACATACTATCCGACACTCCAAAGGTCCTGGCCCAGCTCAGGCTGCACGCTCTTTGACTCTTTATCGGTACGAGCCAAGGAAAGGAAGCAACACCCTCTACCTTCAGGCTTGAGGAGTCAAGGCCGAATTCTTCGCGTCATTTGTGTCCCTCAGCGCAGATGAAGTTTGCAAGGATCTCCTACACCCACAAACTCATCACACCTGCAGGGGCTTATCCATGTTCCAGGTAGTAACTCAACCACTCCCCAGCAACTCCCGAACACTACCCTGCCTCTCGGATATTCGTTAGTAAGCTTGCTGATTCCAAACCCCGACCCTCAAACCTTAAGCCCTCCAAGTACCCCAAACAAAAACGCGGGAAGAGCTCCGGGAAGAGGGACTGCACCAGTAAGGTGTTCATCGAGGCGACCACCTTAGCTTGCCTTAAAAACTAAGATGGGGTATAGAGTTTAGAGGGAAATCATAGTCAATTTATAATAAGGAACCCCAACAATACTATGGGTAATGCCTGCTTTTCGTGATGTCGTTTCAGTTAACATCTCAAAAGTGTAGTATGGGAATCAAGAAACAGAACGCGGCTCGCCTTTGCAGATCCCTCGAAAATTAAATGTCCTTTCTTTGCTGTTCCTTCCCGTGGATCTTACGCGGCTGTTTATTGCGTTCTACGTTCCTTGGGAGTTGTCTGTCTGACGGCTTCTGGGGTTGCCTATGCCTGTGCATAGGTCCCAACCCGGAACCAGGAAGTGCAATCCAGTGGCAGATCCGAAGTAAAGCGCGCCGAGCTCCTCTTGGAAGGATGCGGGGTTTTTCCCCTGTCGGGGTCAGCATGATAGGGTGCTTGCGTGATGGTCACTATCTTGTGGCATGTTCTTAGCCACCGGCCACCGAACTCATGTCTCACAACACAAACACAAGCGCATCGTTCGTTCCTGATTGCATCACATTACGACACATAATGGCATTACGATGGCGATGAATGATTGCCCCATTGGTCTAGCAACCGCCTAGTTGTCAAGGTGGCAGCACTGGTAGCAGCAGCCGACAAGGAGTAGCAACACTACCACGCCTTGGAATTACAAAAGCCAGCTCCTCGGCCCAACACTTCACCCTGATGAATAGACATGACATAACATGTTCATTGTAGCCTCTCATAGCTTTGCAATGAAACGTGCATCTGAAGTTCACCGGACACAGACATTATGCGATGGGTGGTAGATGAGCTCCTCTCCATCCAAGATCTGTCGCAATGCCACGGCGAAAACATACACGATGATCACGGTGAAAGCAAAGAACACAGAGACCTCGGACGTGACCAGAAGTTCAGGCGTCTTGCTGGTGACTAGCGTGCTTCGGGTCGCATCTGGCTTTTGAGGCGTTGCTGGAGGCACTGGCTGTCCAAACCCTTCAATGCTCGTCCCAAGCGCGTGCGGCCAGGAGACAGATCGAGCCGCAAATCCCAGGCCCTTCACGATAATCAGCAACCTGACAGAACCCGCATTTCTAGATTCTAGACTTCCTGTCCTTTACGGACCTGGAGGTGTGAAGGCAGGGTATCAGCATCTTTGATGCGGCCCTTCGGCTCAAGACAGGGATTGACACAAACCGGAACCAGGTGAGGTGTGCAACGCGGCAATGAAGAAGCAACACAGACGTAAGTCTACGTGTCGCTGCCGATCTGTGACTTGGCTCTGCATCTTGGCCAGGTGGCTCCGGGAACGCTTGGAGAAGTCGTGCTAGCCGGGAAAGCTTCAGAAGCTTTACCAAGCGAACCTGGTCTTGCAGTTCCGTTCTACTTAATTACGGCTTACGGCGACGAAAGAATGCGCAAGCGTCTGGTTTGTACCAAGTTGTCAGGTCTTAGCCCGAGCAGTTTAGATCAGTCAGTACGCACATTAGTTTTGGTGTACAACGGCGTGCCGCACCGTCTGCAGCCACTTCCGATTTGTAAACGAGCAATACAACGCGCGACGATGTCGCTCTGCTTTGCTGCATGCCTCGCATGACAGGCCAGCAAGTCCTAACGGGATGTTGCAACAATATCTGGCAGAAGTGACGAATGCCCACGGCCCACGGAGAATGATCGACAACAGCGCACGAATAGCGACGGAGACCAGAGACAACAGAATACACTGCTACAAATGCGAAAAGCCGCTAACACCTGTTCGCACAAGGGGGCTTGTGTACCCAAATCCTCACGCACTCAACCGCTCACACACACACACACACACACATATATATATATATACATACATACATACATACATACATACATACATACATACACACATACATACATACATACATACATACATACATACATACGCACACACTTACATA